GTAAACTTTTCTCTTGGTATACGAATGGTTTAATTTGGATAGGTTTATGAGGAGTTTCTCTGCAATTTTTATAAAGTTCATCATACTAATCTGTATAAGATCCATCCATCCATCCATTATCAATACCGCTTATTCCCTCATGGGGTCGCGGGGGGAACTGGAGCCTATCCCAGTGGTCAACGGGCGAGAGGCAGGGTACACCCTGGACAGTCCGCCAGTCCATCGCAGTCTGTATAAGATGATACAGTTAATGGACCCTTAGAATGAACCATGTTGATCCATTAAGTGGGGACCTCTTTCCATCCAGACCGTAATGTGGTAAAACAAGCACACTGTTTGACTGTAATGTAAATTGTGGTTCACTGATGCAAACTAACAGCATCTATGGTGGTTCCTGTTCTAATTCCTTCCCCTTTTAATGGTAATCCTCTTTCTATTTTAACCAAAAGTCAAACATTCCATTAAATGCAAAGTTCCTATGCAAACTCTGACTTTGGTCCAAGTCTTGTGGGTTTGTTAAATACCTGTTTAATCTATTATTAGTGTGTCTGTAACAAATTTCACAGCAAATAACATTTAATGTACTAGCTCTTTTTGTATTTATTTTATTAGCTGGGGCCTCATTTTATTAGATCAGACATGAGTTTGTGTCTTTTCCTTATTCAGAGGGTGTCTGTTCACATGTGAATGGAAATAAATCACAATCATTTGCATCTGCATTTGCCTTAAATTTACCAGGAGGGAAGCTCAGGGCAGATACTCCACCTTTACCTCAGATTACTGACAAAAGGAGCACCATTTTGTTTGTTTAGCTGGAAAAAACACACATAGGTTCGTTATCAGATAGAATATCTTTATTTAAGACAAGTTCCAGGTTATCTTTTCTTACATCACTATAACCAAAGCTGGTGATTAAATCTATCAGATCAGTCACAAATAAACAAGTCTTAGCAGAGTAGTATGTTAAGATATGAATTCAAATAAATGATTAAAGAAGAGGAGAGATTATGCATAATTGCA